GGCTTTGAACCGCGATCCTCAGATCTCAGCCTCCTGAGTAGCTAGGATGACAGGCGTGAGCCACCAGCGCCCGGCTGAGAGAGACTTTCTACTTGTGGGTCTAGACATAGCTGAGGCATTTCCTGTGCATCAGAATGCTTATGGGAAAGAAGACTTCCCCACTCCCATTTCCTCTGTCTTTTGTGTTCATTCCCCATCATACTCGAAGGGAGGGTCTATTTGGAGGGAGGTCAGTTGTGGGCCTTGAACTCTGGGCCTGAGCACTGTCCTGAGCTCAGCTCAAGGCTAGCGCTCTACCACTTTGAGTCACAGCGCCACTTCTGGTTTTCTGGTGATTAGTTGGAGAAGAGTCTCAGGGACTTACTTTCCTGCCATGGCTGGCTTTGAACCACAATCCTCAGATCTCAGCCTCCTGAGTAGCTGGGATGCCAGGCCTGAGCCACTGTGCCCATCCCAGTTCCAGTTTTCACTGGAGTGGAGGGGAGAGAGAAAGAGAAGAGAGAGAGGAGAGGGGGAGGGAGGGAGGAGAGACTAGCAAAGGAAAGCTATGTGAAATACTTGGAAGTGTTCCAGACTTGTGGAGATGCTTCCAGCCCCAAAGACTGAGAGTTTCTCATTAGAAAATGCAGATGTTGTTCCTGGCATTAGTGACTCACACCTGTGACCCTGCTCCGGAGGCTGAGGTCTGAGGTTCATGGTTCAAAGTCAGTCTGGGCAGATGTATCTGGGAGATTCTTACTTCTATTTAGGCAGCAATAGGTCAGAAGTGGAAGTGTGGCTCAACTGGTGGAGCGCCTGCCTTATGCAAAAAGCCAAGTAACAGTGTAAGGTCCTGAGTTCAAACCCCATTACTGGTACAAAAGAGAGAAAAGAATGAAAGTAAGAATACCAAGAGGCAGCTGAGTACATGCTGAAGGGGGAAAATCAACAACACAGGATTTGAAGCACCAGGAGAATTTCTGAGACCTGTTCAGAGAGTACTGGAATGCCGTCACTGCCTTCACCTTTACCAAAATTCTATTTCCCTAGTGAGTGCATAGGCTTCTCAGGAGGGCTACCTGAGATGGTGCACAACACATGAACTGCGAAAGCAGACAGGAGAAGCTGGTAACCATAAAGAAACATATTAGCCAGGCGCTGGTGGCTCACGTCTGTCATCCTAGCTACTCAGGACGCTGAGATCTGAGGATCACAGTTCAAAGCCAGTCTGGGCAGGAAAGTCCGAGAGACTCTTATCTCCAATGAACCACTCAGAAGACTTGTCTTGAGCTGAATTGCTGAGGGACACGCCCAGGCCCAGAGTTCAAGCTCCATGACCGACCAAAAAAAAAAAATGCATTAAAGTCATCCAAAAACCTGGAAAAGGCATTCCTATAGTTGAAATTTAATTTTATTTTTATACAGTTGTATCACTGGTAGTGATTTATATGAAATGAACACCATCTTCTGTAAGGGAATTAATTACTAATAAATATAACTGTTAAATGTTTCTGACATGCAGAAAGTCCTCTGGTCTGCAGTAACTCAAGAGAATAGTTTTTGAGTAAATAAATCTTGAGAACTACTTAAAAAGTTAAAAGTAGTAAATATACATCAGAATGCAAATACAAAATTGACAAACTCATTTAAGTTTTAAGAGAATGCATGAAAATACATTACATGCTTAACATTTCATCAAATTTCCCTTTTGGACAATACCATTTCCTTTATTCACAATATGTGGTCATTCTCTTTAGACACAGACACAAAGTCTGGAAAAGAGTTATGTTCTTCCTTGGTTTGTACATATTCAAATAAGCATATTCATGGCTGGTAAAATTAATCATAATATTATTTGGTAGATTTATTCTAAAAGAAAAGTCTTGCCTCTTTCAAAACACTAACTGAAAGAAAGTCAATGTATACTTATAGCAAGGCTTATTTTTTAGGGAAATATTACCGTTAGTGATATCATTTTCATTGAAGCATCCAAAAGTTGTACTTTCCAAGGTTCTTCAATGCCTTCTGGTATATAAATATAGTAAGCAGGGAAAATACAAAACAGTACGAAGTACAGAGTTTTGTGTCCCATGATACTCTCTTCGCAGGTTCTCTGTGATAATAATTTAATGTCACCTCATATATACTAAATGCTAAACGATAGGACAAAGGTAGGTGGTTAACTTTCTCAAGTAATGTGGGCACTGTAGCAACACTGACTTAACAGTTCAAGAT